ACTCGAAGAAGGCATTGCAACTAGGAGCCCAAAAGCTCAAAAGCGCCGTTAACAAACTAATGGGGACATTAATGTCAACTTGTGAGAGTTGGATTAGGTCATAAAGACCCATCTCCTTCCATTGCAATTCATAGGTTGGCTTCAAGTGTTTGACCCAGTTGGCTTAAGCATGAGGAGACCGAGGCCAATTATCAAGTTTTCGACAAGAATATTTAGTAAAAGGTAATGCCATTTGGGCCAGTATGAGGTCACAAATTGAGGTTAAGGGCTATGGATTCAGCTGGGTGGGACTTATCGCATCTAATAGGTTTGGAGCTATAAATAAATACCCTACGTCGCTCTGGTTAGACAAACAAAAGCTTCAAGGAGAAGTGCCAATGAAACAAAGCAAAATGTGATCAATATTTATCCCTAAAAAATGCAAGAATCTAACCAAAGGAAAGGATCTTACTAGAAACTGGCACATGGATGGAACAATGAGACTTCTTGAGGAAAATAAAGAAGAAACATTAGACTAAGAACTTAAACCAAGAAAATGCAAGTTCAAGATGGTATATTTACTGTAATAAGTACTCCTAAAGGGCCAATGGGATTTTGAATCATGGCTAGAGAGTCAGGCAAGGTCATGGCAAGAATAGTGGATGGGGCAGCATTAGAAGCAGGAGTAGTAAAGGAAGAAGCAATTGTTGAACAAAAAAGCTAAAGGAACAAGGAGCAGAAGCTTAATGGTCAAGGAATGGCAGAGAAAACAAGAAGGACTAGGAAGAGAGAGGAAATAAAAATTTATATTATCAAGAAGACGCACAAAAATGAAACAATATTTTAGTCCTCTTTCAAACATTCCACGTGGCTTATAATTACCAGCCACTAGTGTAACATCTTCAATTTTAAATCCAGATTAATTAAGCTTAAATAGATTAGTAAAGTGAATCTTTTATGTGTGTGGCCAGAGAGGCCTAACGGGCGTGTTTGATCTCTATTTCAATACTAAATGTGGGTTCGAAGGAAAATCGGGTCACCCGAGGATAGAAGAGGAAGAACTTTTAAAGGGAGTGATTTTATGCCACGCGCTGTGGTATAGGGTTGGTCTGCCGCGGCGCATGCATGATAACACACCTAGAAGAAGCTCTCTGTGCCATGCGCCGTAGTGCATTGTGCATCCACCACGGTATATGGTCAAAATTTTATAGTATTAAGTCGCGAATTTGAAGTGCAAAAGAAGAGGAAACAAAAGAGAACGAGAGAGTGGCGAAAAAGCTGAGCTAGGGCTTGAAGAAATTGACTATTAGGAGTAATTTGGAGCTCATAATCACCTAAGGTAAGCTTCCTTGCTTAAATCTTCCTCTCTTCTTCCATTTTCTTGATGGTAGAGGTTAGAGTTTAATTGCTAATGGTGATTTTTGGTCCCTAAAAGTTATGGGCCTGCACCCATTAATTTAAATAGAGTTAATAAGGGCAGATTGAGCTAGGTAAACTTAATATTTATGGTTTTATGATGATTGGTGGTTGGAGGATATTAAGTGTCCAAAATTTTCATAAATTTGGTGGTTGGAAATAATGTGGCTTCATTAATGCCCATTTAAGAGCTCAATGTCATAAATGAGAGTTATAGGAAGCTAAGAAACCTTATGGGTACTTCTATATGAGTTCAGAGTAAATCTTGAGTATTAAGAAATGATGAAATGCTAGTAAAAAATAGTTCAAAATGGGTATTGATGTTTTTCATAGTAAATGCTTATAGTGTAATTACCATTGGCACCATTCAAGCTTCTTGGAAGCTTCGAGAGCAAATAGTTGAGGGGTGAAACCTTTAACCTCTCAAAAGTTTGAGGTAACTGGGAGAATTCTATCTTATGCTTGTGTGTGAATAAGTTTATTGATTTATGAGTTATCATTGGAATGTATAAAATAAAAGAAATGAAAGTGTGGCTTAATTTGTGAAGAAATCTACTATATCAAATTTGTGAGTTTTATGCCTTATGATATAAAATTTCCCTTGAGAATAATAGTAGTGGATTTTTGTATTAATGTTCATTAGGAGTGCAATGATTTCTATAAATTGAGAAGCAAAATGAATCTTTGTTTGGAAGGAGTTCGATGATGTTTGAAAATAGGGAAGCTTAATAATTTTAAAACTATGAGGTACAATGAAAATAGGGAAGTTTAATGATTTTGAAAATGTGAGATACAATGATTATGAATTAAGAGTTTCACGACTTGTTTGGTTTTAAAGTTTCATGAAATGTGTAATAATGAAGTTCAATGAAAGGTGATAATGTGAAGTTCTATGAATTCTATATGTGTGAATTATCGCATGAATGTCCATTGCATGATCTAGAGAGGCGCAAGTTCGCTTAGAAAGCAGAGTAGATGATAAATCCACATAGTAAAGCCCCATCCATGTGATAGATTACCTAAATTAATTTTATCCATATCGTCCTACTTGTTTAATGAGGGACTGTCCCACTGGTTCAATGGGGGACTCGAACCTAGTTAGCTATCTACCGGTTTAATGAGGAAGCTAATCTAGGGTGTATGACACCCCATAGTAAGAGAAATGGGGGAAACTGTGATCCATAATTAAGATGGGTACACCTTGGCTAGGTAATTTCCTCACGAGTGTTTAGGCTAGGGAAGTCAAGAAATATAGACTATCCCATTGAGTTATAGCCCATGGTTTCGTGTCAAAGGAATGAAGAGAATATAAGATAGGTGTGATCATGCATATATTGAGAAAAGGCACTTGTTTTCTATATTGAGTCCATAATGTGGATATGTTGAGTTGAGTAATAATTTTTGCCATTAGACTTGTCAATAAATTGTGTGAGCAATTTTATTTATATGAAAGATGCTAAAAGTATTGTTTTTCTAAGTGAATGCCATTATCTGAGCTACGTTGTGAATTCTTATTTCAAATGTTTCTCATGGGTTAAAATAATAATATTTACTGCCACTTGCACTTAAACTAATTGTTATGCATTGTTATGGGCTAGTCGGACCTTGGTTATTGAGTAGTTGTACTCACGCTGTTATCTTCAATATTTCAGAGAATAGCTTAAGAAGTGAAGACATAGGAAAACAACTCGAGACTTAGGATCACGATCTATTTGTAATAGGCCTCTTTATTTTGGATAATTTATGAGTATGACAATTTCGATTGCCAACTAGGATTTCCCCTTTTGTTACTTACTTGCATTAAGTGAAATGTAAATTGTAATGGTATTTTGGGCCTTAGGGAGAGAGTTGATTATTATGTGTTATGATGATAGGGTCAAAATACTAATGCAAATGAGGGTAGTGAACATTATGTGATAATTTAGGAAATTTTGATGAAAATGATGGTAAACTCCCCCGTTCTATGATTTTGAGTTAAGGGGTTGAGTAGTGAAAATTTGATCTAAAAATATTCCTTGTGTTATGGTGCATTGCACGAGTTGATTTTGATGACATGTATGTGGTTATAGTGTTGTTGGTGACTTATGGTCCTTGGTATATGTTTTGAACATTCGAGTCTATGAAATTTATCGTATTAGTGAAAGTTTTGAAAAGGATGTCCAATTTCTATTTTAAAAAGAATTTGAGCCTGAGACCAATGTCATTAGTTAGAGTCCGGAAAGAACTTTCCATAGACTCCTAGTTCACATCATTCGGATGTCAAACGGAGATTTAGGGTGCGTCGGAAGTTGGCCCTAAAGCTGTCAAATTGACAACAGAACTCATTGTCAAAATTCGTGCATTTGCACCGCAATGCATGGCGTCACGAGCCATGGCACATGTCACAGAGGTGAATACGCTGCGGTGCATGTTCAACAAGTCGCAACGCATACCTTAAAAATTTTTAAAATTTTTCTTTTTCAGATTTCTACACCAATACACTCACTTATGTGATAATCCCTTACTTTTGCGTATTTGCGAGCTTTGATTTGCCTCTTTGCAAGACTTGATTTGACTTTAGATTTATAATTTTGGAGTCCTCATTTTGTTAACCAATGAGCATTCTATTTTTGATAATTATTATCGTCTCATTTTCCTAATTACAACTTGGTAATTGTAGGATAAAAGGAGGAGGATATTACAACTAGCATGTGGGGGCATTGTTTGGGATAAATTTGAAACGTTGTTTACAATGGCTATAAAATAAAATAAGCTGAATAACTGAAGAGATAGAACCAATAAGCGATTTAACAACAGGGCGAGTCCAGATTATAATGGAATAACTTGATCAGATAATCACGGGTCTTTGAATCCCTTAAAGCTTAGAGCCATGGTCTAAACCGTTGTGATACACAAAACCATAACCTTAATGGACCCCGAATCTCACAAAGTCATACCCATTATCTTGGAATATCTTGGAGACATGGGCTAGTTGTTAACAAACAGAACGCATTATGAATAAAAAGACCATGTCATAAATCTCACGGATCGTGCATATTGAATCCCTAATATTTTGTGAATGAGTTCTAGATTTCATGGGAGCAACCGTCTTAGCTAAACCATTATAAAAGGAGGAGAAAGTCATAGAGAACGGGACTGAACGAAAACACCTTTCAAACACTGTAATCTTTTAGACTTGTAGTTCTTAAATTCTTAAATAACTTTCAATTTCATTTTAGCCTTGTAATCTTTACTACTTTGTATTTGCCAACACTTGGTATTCCAACTCCTTTGTATCATTTGCATCTGGGTCTACTATAGTAAGGGAGCCTGGGAGCTGTTTGTTATCATATAAGACTCAGCATCTTTGGCATGCCGGATAATTTTATTGTTCACAACAAATAAGTCTCTAGAAACTTCAGAAGAATTATAACATTTTATGAAATCTCATTATCATTTGTATATTTCAAAATTTTTTTTCGTAAATCAAGAATTCTATTATTTTTCAAAAAATTAATGAATTTTAATAGCATGGTATGAATAATTTGTTGGCCAATTTATTCAGTCGACGTGGAATATTCAAATCCACAGGTAGTGGCCGAATCGGGAGCCCGTTATCCCCAAACAACCACCAAATGCTTCACTGAAGGGAGTGTGCTCTCTGCTCTGTTTCCACTCATTCTTTTACCTGGGAACAACAATGCCAATGTTCGCTGCGACGCTTGGCTCCTTCCCGTCGATCTTCTTCTTCTCACAACTTTCATCTTCTTCCACCGATGCCTTCGTTTCTCCTTCAATCTCCTTTCCTTTCTCGAATCAATTCAATCTCTCCAAGTATGCCCACAAATTATCCATCGTGAGAGGGCGGTGGTGTTACACTGCTAAAGTCTCCGTCTCTGGTAATACACAGATTGATGAAAATCCTGAGAGTCAACTCCATGATGACGACCCCTCTTCCTCACCGGACGCCGCTCGCCTAGCTCGGGTGTGTTATCAGTTATGCCTTTTCATTTGCCTCAATTTTTGAAAACATTTTAATCGTAGAATGTTATTCGGAGAGTGGCTATTTTGAGTGGGTAAAATTGAAGTTGCAATGCCTCTCGACAACCTTTATTGGGTCCATAAGATTTTGCCGTTTCTATAATTGAGGAATTAAAAGCGAATCGTTGTTCTAGTATCTTTTAATTTAAAGAGTTGAGACATAGAAACCAGAATTTCCATTATCGTTGGTTTCATAGACTTGCATGAGATTAAAGCATCTATGAATTTTGAACGGTAAGACCATGACTTATTGGGTTTACATTTTATTTGCATATGAGAGAAAAACAATTATACGGAGAAAATGTTGAGCAAGTTTTTTTTGAGCATTTGCTTCTTATTTTCTTTGGAAGGTTACTTTAGTTGTAGTCATATGAATGGCATTCAATGATATTATTATTTTATATTTTGAGTTCTAAAATATAAAAGCTTCATAGTTCACAAGATTTAAGTTGGATACATGATAGTTTATTTAACGCAACCAGCTCGTTATTTGGATAGATTGCAATTTAAAAAGAATTAGATTTTGGGAGGATTACAAATGGATCCTAGATAAGGAAACTAATTACTTACAAATCCCATCCACTTGTAAATACTGAAGTTTAACATGTAAATATAGAAATTTGACTTGTAAATGGGCTGAAGAAATAATTAATTTCCTTACTTGGGACCTAATTGTAATTCTTCCTTAGAATTTACCTTGCAGTACTGCATGGGGAAGCCAATATTCTGAAAAAGAATGTCAGTATTGTGAGATAAGTATTAAGTAAATTTACAGTGTTTCCAATTCCTTTTCTTTTCTTTATTCTTTTATGACAAAAAGTTTAGATGAGTTGGGTTTTGGGAGCTCACCAAGGTCAGGACATATCTCTTGGTTTAAAGAATGCTTGCTGAGATACTTACCAATCATCCACATATACATACTGATCATCCACCAACAAAGTTCTCATTCTAATTTCATGTAAATAATGAACATAAAAATGTTGTTCTCTTAAACACTCAAGTTGGGACTCACAAATTGCTAAGTTAAACCATTACTTTAATTTTGCATTGATGTCAGTTTTAATCCTTATATGTTCTAATACTTAATTTCTTCAAAGAATTTGACATCTGCTGATTGGAAGGCTGCAAAGAGATATAAAGAGAGTGGGTTCATCTATGATGGCAGAATTGAAGGTTTTAATGGTGGAGGACTGCTAGTTCGCTTTTATTCTCTTGTGGGGTTTCTCCCATTCCCACAGTTAAGCCCATTGCATTCATGTAAAGGTACCCATATCTTGATCCTAATTATATATAACATCTATTTTGTTTTCATTTTCATAAAAATATGGATTGAACTATAAAGAATTTGTTTTAATCATCCATTGATTCTCCTGCAATCAGTTCCCTTGCTTTCCCCATTTCCTTTATCCTCCTTGGGGAATTCCATGTTCCTTTTTGTAACTTGATTCAGTAGCAGAGTCCAATTTTATATCATTTACTCTTTGATTTTCAGCTCCAAGGTACCAGCCCACATCTTATTTTAAAGTAGAATGGAAGTATGTAGGTCAGAAATTATCAATGAAAGTGAGATCTTTTAATATTACTAATATAATTATAACAATTTAAAAGTACAATAGTTAATTCTAGAAACTTTATAAACAACAAGAAGAAGAAACAACATTGTACTCTATCAACAACCAAGCATTTGGATATATTGTTAACTAAAAGATCTTGTTCAACAACTTTATTGATTGTTCTCTTTGGTCTTTCTCTACTTGCTTCATAGGATTCAAGACAATCTATTCCACCCTCTTCACCACCATCTCCCACAACTTTTTTTATACATGTTCAAATCATCTTAAACGATTTTCTACTATCTTCTCCTTAGTAGATGCCACACACACTCTTTCTCTTATATGGTCCTAAACAATTATCAGGATAACTGACTAGATAATTGATTTATTATGCTATTGATATTCACGCTCACTTAGCAAGATAACTAACTTAAAATGCCTTAACCCCCCATCTTAATGGTAGTTTTACTTTGGACCATGTAACAATTACTTCTATGTGCTATTTATTGACATTTGTGAAGTCATGATAGTATCTAAAGATTTTGGAAGCACAAAATAAACTATATTAGACATTCAAAATTCTGGAAATGATAGTTTCATCAAATATTATTTGATACTAGACATCTTTCCTGGATAACATCATAACATCTATATATTGTTATCTTGCGATAATTGATAGGTCTTCGATACTTCCCCAGTTCCCCTCAAGTCAAAAGATTATATATTTCTGACTTCTTGTTACTGATCCTTTGTTGTAGAGCCGCACAAATCTATCCAGGACATTGCAAAAGGTTTAGTTGGTTCCCTCATGTCGGTGAAGGTAATTCATTAATTAGTAATTTTCACTTCCTTGTCCTTTTGTTCTATGTTGTCATAACTGTAATGTATTTATTTATTAAACATTATTAGCGCTTGATTGGGCATCCCTGATAAATTCTGGAAATCAGGGTCGCATTAGAGACCTTAATGTCTTTATTTTATCAATCCTCTTCTGTTACTGCAAATAAAGTGCTACATTTTTCCCTTCTCTCTTCCCAATCCCATCTTTTGCTATCCTAGTCAGCTGACAGACTCTGTTTTTTTTTCATGAGGTAAAATCCTTATCTCAACATGAAAGCAAATATTGGCATTTTCTCCCGTATTAGACTTAGCAATTATGACCGATCTAGAATTTCGGGCTCCTACGGTGGATATGAAATTCTTAGCATGATGCCTTTGCTGCTTTCCTTCCCTCCTGTGCTTTTCTTTTAGTTACCTCATCAGTTTGGTGTCAGCAAATGTTATTTCATCATGTGTATTGTGATTTTTCAACCCTTTTTACGAGATATAAATTGAGGATTGTTTTTAATATGCAAATGATTGCAGTTCCTTGTAATTTTAGGTAATTCAAGCAGATGAGGATAAAAGGAAATTGATCTTCTCTGAAAAGGAGGCTGCCTGGTCTAGATATTCTGAACGGGTCAGGGTTGGGGATATCTTTGAAGCAATGGTTGGTTCTGTTGAGGACTATGGTGCTTTTGTTCATTTGCGTTTCCCTGACGGTAAGTATTATGTATATGTCTTAAGTTTGGGTTTCCCTTTTCATTATATAATGGAAAAGTTACAAGTGACATCACAGGCTGATGCAGGTCTTTATCACCTCACTGGTCTAGTGCACATCTCAGAAGTGTCGTGGGATCTAGTTCATGATGTGAGAGACATCTTGACAGAAGGTGATAAAGTGAGGGTCAAAGTCACTAGTGTTGATAGGTGAGCTTACCAACAGGACTTTTTAAAAGAATTTAGGTTTCCTATTGATTTGGTTTCTCTTTTCCCTTTTTTTTTTGGGGGGGGGCCATGTTGATTTTATTCTACTGGACAGAATATATCCATGCTTTGAATCATTGACTAACAAGATTTCTTTGTTCCCCCATTCCCAAATTTTGTAATTAACTATATTGGTGTTGCATCCCTCGATTTAAAACATTCCTATGTCTTTAATTTAGTGATCATTTTCATGTTAGATTCTCATAATTTTGCTCTATTTGTGTAACTCAAGCATCTTTAAGAATACTACCATTTAGCATTAATTTTTTCATTTAAATTGTTGCAGAGAAAAATCAAGGATTAGACTATCAGTAAAACAGTTAGAAGAAGATCCACTTCTAGAAACTCTTGATAAAGTAATACCTCAGGTTTGTATTGATTTTCATGGCGGGAAAGCACTAATTTCTAGTCAGAGCAAGAGAAGCCAATCCTAACATTGAAACACCAAGTCATGTGACTTTTCCATATGGTCTTCTGAGCTAGTTTTTATGTTGACCATTTATGCAAGACTTGATGCACATAGTTTATCTCATGTATTGAAATGAGAGGAAGAAATCTTGACTATTTCGTTTTGCATGAATGGCTAAGTTTATTAGATTATTTAAGGTCGTGGCTTGGTCTTTTAAGTTTTAATCCTGAGTATGAGTGCAATATCTGATGGTTAAGATTTGATCCTCTCACTTATGCTTAAAGCTACTCATTGGAATGAACAAAAGATAGCAGGAAGATCTCTCCCATAATACATTCTATATTGCAGAGTGGCTCAGATGATCTTGATTCTTCAAGTGATGGCACTGGCAATGCTATTGAGCCTCTTCCTGGCCTTGAAACAATACTTGAAGAGCTACTCCAGGAAGATGGGTTAGTTTCCCTTAATTATTTTGGATAGTTGTTCTAGCTCAAATGGAAATAATATGTTTCTTGTTCTCTAATTTTCTGGGAAGAAACAAATATGATTATGTACTTTATAATCATGAATTATATAGATTTTGACTGTACCAATGAATAACTTTCTAGCCTAATGAACAAAGCAACTTGGCAATTATTGCTTCTAAAGAAGATCGAAGATTTAGAATTATGTACTATGACTTTTACTGAAACTGTAATTCATTTAACTATGCATTTCCATGGAAGGTAGGTCACCAACCTGTGAGAAAATTTTGATTTTATATCATGTGAGCCCAACAATGTGAAAATACATGATTGAGTAATAAATATCTTGATTTGTACTGCGTGTGCGCGTGTAGAAAATGTCAAGATAGTTTCAGCATAATAAAATTACTTGGGTTTTGTTTAAGCTGGTAATGACTTCTGTTGGCGTTTAACAGAGTATAAGCTCTTGTTTTACCTTGCTTCTTTTGCCTTGAACCATCATTGAAATTACGTAGTAACTACTTTTTAAGGTTGAAATCCTGATTTTAACCCAAATTATTTTCAGTTTATTGGGGATTTCTTCTTGCGTTATTTAGGCATCTAACTAGGGAGAGAACTATACTCATTCAAACCCATTTTTTCAGAGAATTAAGATTAGGTTTTGTTCCTGATATTTTTGTTATCAAGTTTATAATAAGACATGTGTATAATTTTTATCTAATAACATGACAATTATATAGTTTAATTGAATAACAATATATTTGCCCGCACATATTAAAATCATGCAGTTATCATGTTATTATTTGAAAAATGTCTGGTGATCATATTTTCACCATGGAATTTGATAGCAAAGAAAAGATATAAGAACCTTGCGTATTATTATTATTTTTAATTGAACCTTTTACTCTTTCATTTCCTCAACCTCATTATTTTGGGTTCCTGAGAAAAGACAGCTTTGTTTTGCTGCTTTGAGACTGTAATTTAAAGAGTAATTCCACATTTCATTACTGTTTATTACTTACATATGTATGTGTATATATATATATGTATTTTTTGTACAATATAGCCGACCCAATAGTGTTGTACAATCCAAGTAGCCAACTTCACCTAGTGGGATAAGGCTGCTTCTTGTTGTTTTTTGTATAGCAAATCAATATCTTTTATATGCAAGGATCACATTTGACTAATAGTTTGATTCAGCAACTGGTTGTGTTGATGTGCTGTTGCAGGATAGATGATGCCAGAATCAGCCGTCAAGGTTTTGAAAGACGGGTGGTTTCACAAGACTTGCAACTATGGCTTTCTAATGTAAATTTCTCAGTCCTTTCAGGAAATACTCCAAGGTGTTTATGTTTATGTCTGTTTTCTGTTAATTTCTGTGTCTAATCACAGGCACTCCCACTGACCAAAGGTTCACTCTCTTGCTCGGGCCGGAAGACAGGTAATTTTCTTTTGAGGTCCAACTCCCATACTCCCAGATGAAAATGACCAAAACTTTTGGCTATTTTGAATTCCTTGGCATTTTAAATGAAAGCAGCACAGATTGTTTCAATTCCAATTTCTCGCATTTATAACTCTTTATTTTAATAAAAACTTGGTTGATGATAGAATACAATAGTGTGATGTAATTCATATAGTTGACCTCATTTAGTGGGATAAAACTTGTTATTGTTGATGTTGTTTTAATAATCTGGATGAAAAGTTCTAGGGTGATCGCTCGACTTAGTGACTGCTAGTATTTCCAACATGTTACCGGGGCCTTGTTAATAGGAAGGAGAGAAAACTAGGAAAGAAAGTTCCACCATTGTTTTCCTCTAATTTTCTCTTAGGGGAAAAATTAAAGGAAAAATTTTGTGCTAAGGAAGGAAAATGTTCTTTTCTTCTGCTTTTCTTTCCTCCCTATTTTCCTCCTATTCCAAATGGAGGGTAATTGTGATAAATCAAGTACTTGCCATAATTACTTTGACCCCTTAAATGACGTCATCCAAAACCACTATCAGGCAGTTTTCATACTAAATTGGATCTTTTAAAGTATCTTTACCTAAAGTTAAGAGAGAGATAGACACCTAATCATGGGTTTTAGGATCCAATTGTCAAAATGAAACCTACTATCATGTATTTCTCTCTCGTTTCTTTCTAAAAAAAACTTTAGGAAGATCGATGATCGTCCTTATCGTAGTTTGGTCATGGTTAATTGTGTGTTGGGATGCAGGTGCAGGAAATACATCTGACAACGTCTCTTGATCAGGAAGGTATCAAAAGGGCATTACAAAGAGTATTGGAACGTGTTCCCTGATCCTAATGATCCTTACTGTTTTTGCACAGTTATCCTACTTTTAAGAGTTCAAATTATTGCACTAAAAAGAGTTTAAATGTGGCCCTCTCTATGTGATATCCACGTCCATATTATGCCATATCCAGAAACACACAAGGAAGTAGTGAATCTCTCTGTTCTCCTTTATAGGACTTTTAAGGATAGAAATCTTCTCTGTTCTTTGTCCTGTGTTCTGGTGGTACAAATGTTGTCACATGACTCATGAGATCTGAAAATTAACGAGTAAATTGGTGATCTTGTTTTTTTGTATGTATTAAATGTAAGATTAAGATGCAAAAATACCCCCAATGTATTAGGCAAGGAGCTGCTTGCTTCCTTAGTTCAAGGATGGTGCAATTTTATCCATCATTTTAAAAATTGTGCAAACTTCCCAATTTGTAACAGAAGTTTGTCTGTTATGTAAAAGTCATGGATCCCACATGCTTGCCACGTGTTTATGGCTTAAGGGCAAAAATATCTATCATGTACTATATTACAGTGCAATTTTGCCCAAAATCCTAAAAACTTACCAATCTAAAACAACGACATGTTAGCAAACATTGACTATGAATGTCAAAAAAACTGAAATTTATTTGATTCAAAGTCTAAATAAGAAAATACACTGTTCAAATTTGTCTTAACCATTTCAAACCTTAAGCACAATATTTTATCTTGTCAAACTTTACACTTAGGAGGAGAGGGAAGGGAGTTTGAACTAACTTGGATAGTAGAGAGAAGAGAGTCCAGAGTTGGGATAGCTTTTAGATGGATTTGGAATAAAAATATCTTTATGTGGTTGTGATGTGTGACAAATAAATGTCATGCCTAAGGTTAATTTCAACCATTTAGGACAAATTTGAATATGTGCATTTCTAAGTGTACAATTCATGTCAAATAAATTTTCAATGTTACTAACATGGTTTGTGTTTGTTAAGGAGCACTTTGTCATGCAATTGAGGATTTTTGCACCATTTTTAGAATTGATGGACAAAATTGAACTGTATTGTATTATTTCATGGATATTGTTGCTCCCAACCCATTTATATGTGGCAAAGTATGTGAAACTCACAACCCTTAACGGACGATAGGTCTTTGTTATGAATTTAAGTTTTTGTGTACCTTTTTTTAGAGTTAATAGGTAAATTTGCACTATACTTGAGTTAAGGATGCTAGTAGCTCTTCACAAAATATTTTGAATATTTTTATACTTTAATCCTTTAATATATCAGCAAATCACATTTGCCTCTTTACAATTTCAAACGGCTGGATTGTCTTGTGGAAAGATCTTGATGGGATTAAAATGATAATTGAAATGAGAATAGATTTGGGCGGAGTAGAATAATCTGGTAATACGTCACTGTCTTTAATTTGCATGGCATATAAAATATTGGAATGGAATGTCATTTTAATTCTAAGTTCGGTAAATTCCAGTGAAGGATTTTGTGCTCCAGTGCTTAATAAACTTCATATGAAGGACTTTGTTTGATATATTAATACTAAAGGATCTTGTGCTTTTGTGCTTAATAAATTATCATTGAAAGATCTTGTGTGACATATTAATATTAAAATTATTGATAAAAAAAATTTTGTTCAACCTTTATTTTTTATTATTAAAGGCATTTAAGTCATTTATCTGCTGAAATTATTGGCAGCGAAGAATCTGATTTTGGAATGTGTCCCATGAATTTCAAGGCTAAAAGCAATTCTGTAAGTACATGCCATCATAAGATTGCCTATATGTACAGACTTGCACTTGCATTTTTTTTTTTTTGAAAAATTGTGCTTATCATTTTATATAAATAATTTTAAAACAATTTTATTAAATATTAACAAAATTTCCATCAAAGAGACTGCCACATCAATGATTGTTGGGCTGAAATGGTGTGTACTTTATTTCACTCAAGCGAGATAAAAGGGATGACGTTGATTATTTTCAAATAGAGATTTGATGATAAACAAAAAAGAAAAAAAGTCAAATAAGTTGTATAATAATAAAAAAAATTCATCCATTGTAGTTGGGATGAGGGGGAAGAACTTAATTTTCAACCTTATGAATAAAAAAAATTAATCATTTGATCCTTATAATTTTAACTCAATTGTAACTCAATTATTAAACTTTGACTCATTATAATTTAATCCTTATAGTTTTAACTTGGTTGTAATTTAGTTTCTAAATTTTGTATCCTGTAATTCAATTTCTGTAGTTTCAACCACTTATAGTACCTATATTTAAAAAAATAAAATTATAAAGATTATAAATATTTTAAACTTTTAATATTTATAAAGATTAAAAGAGTTTAATAATTTAAAATATTAGTAATAAATTTTAACATAATTCTAATCTTTATAATTTTATTACTAATATTATAAACATTAAAAGTTCAAGATATTATAAATATTATAATTTTAATATTTGATAATTTAAAATATTAGTAATAATTTTTAACATAATTTTAATCTTTATTTATAAATAAATTTCACAATTTATATAAAATACTGCCAAGCGTTTTGAGATTCGGTTGTATTTTGTATGGGTGTGAGAAAAAGAGATGTCGTTGGCCTAATGTCAAACCTGTTTAGTTGTAAATTATGGAATTTAGTTATAAATTATAATATTTTAGTTGTAAATTCATAAGAATTGGTTCTATGAGAATTTTTTTTTGAATTTTTTGTTTACACAAATTTACAACTGAAATATTAAAATATGTAACTGAAATTTCATAATTTACCCCTTAAAAATTAAAAGCTTTGAAATTGGGGTAATGTAGCCATTTTACACCCATATAAAATTAAGATTTCAATTTAGGTCACTTTCTCATGTCTCACGAGTCACAAAATTTTATCATATAATATTAAAAAATATTAAATGTTAAATTTTTGGAAGGATAACTTATGTGAGGCGTGCCTTAATCATGAAGATTGTTTTGAAGTTTTAGAGTAAAATATATCTTGATAATTTTTAAATATTGATAAAATTTATTATCTATTTAATTTTTTTCTTATTTTTTATTTTTAAAACTATTTTATAATATAATTTTAAAAACTATATTTTAAAACAAAAACATGGAAAATTTATTTGGCTGTGTTAATTTTTAAAAAACTAAAATTTAAAAATCAGACAGCTTATGATAATTATTAATTAATATAACTATAATTTGTGTGTAATATATATTTTAAAAATAAGAAAAATAAAATAAAAAATGCGTTAAAATATTTTTAGCTTTAAAAATAAAAATGACAACAGTTTTAAATAATAATATTCAAACACTTGATTAAATAAGTTTTTAATTTTTAATTTTTAAAAATAATAATTAATTTTTAAAAATAGAAACCAAACAAGTCGTAATGATTATGGGCCTGTTTGGCAACCTATTCTGGGAACAATTTTCTATTCTTTAGAACAAAAGAACAAAAAAACTTGTTTGGTAACATGTTTTTAAAATGTGTTTTAGAGAATAAAAAAAATAAAATATTGTTCTAAAAAACAGAAAAAAAAAACTTTTAAGTATTTTGAGATTATTGTTCTAAAGAATAAGGGAGAATGAAAAAAATATCTATTTTTATTATTTTTTTGTTCTCAAACATATTTTACAAAACACCAGTTTTCAGAATAATAAAATAAAAATAATTTTAAATAGCCTCATGAATTGAGTGAGGACTTAATCCAAATTCAAAAGACTTACAACCATATTCAAACTAGATGTGTGTGTTTTTGCAAATTCCCCGCAATTATTTGTCAAAAGGTCCAATTTGCCCAATTTTTTGTTCCTTTCTGTTTCTTTTTTCGGTTTTATGTCATTAATGTTTCTCAGTACTATTCCAAAAAAAAAAAAACCTCTTGCGTCAAACGAAATATTTTCAAAGTTGGCGGGACATAATATTGAAAAGGTACTAGGGAGCAGTGACGGGAGTGATTCAATGAAGGCATGGGTTGGATTGGATAGCCAAAAGAGCAAGGTGAGGCAAAACCCTCGTTGGTGCAGTTCCGAATCGCGACTCCGATGCAAATGCGATGCTGACCGGCAGAGAAGGCTTGATCCGATTGGTCGGCAAACGCAGGCGCTTCCTTCCCAATCGTCAGTCTCTCTTCTCCAATCCAGAACAGGTATACGCACCTGCTCGTGTTCTTTCGCCCCTATGTTATTCTGATTATTTAGATTCTATTTACTTGTATTCGGTGAGGGGACGGTTTATCTATGTTCTCCATGTGTTTGAAACTTTGTCCCACTGATGAACCATAGTTGTAGGCAGTTGCATCTTGAAACTTGGAGGTCTCTACACATATGGGGAACTTCACAAGCAGAGTGAAGTTTGTAAGTGTGAGGGCTCTCCCTCTTAATAGGCTAGTCTTTTTGGATGGGCTGCTCTCCTACGTTGGTGCCTTCATTGAGAGTCCAGAGGAAGCCTTGGGCATCTCATTTTCGAATGGGGTGATAATGTCATGAGTCTCACATGAAGCTTCATAAGTAGAATGAGGTTTATAAGTATGAAGTGGCTCTCCCTCCTTATGGGTGTCTTTTGGGATGGATCTTTGAACTTGTGCTCAAGGCATGAAATACAACTAGTTTAGTGAAGAAGAGGAAGAAGAGGGAGCGTTTAATCTGATAATGGCATCAAGTGAGTTGTAGTCCTTCTAAAACCATGTTGGCTTCTCAAGCCATAACTTTCTGCCACGACACGAGGAATATATGTTAAAGTAACTTCTTGAGATTCACAATGGGCTGTCTCAATTTGCTTTTCTTCATGGATTTTTTTATTCTATGTCACAATTCACAATGTTAAAAACTATGTCACCAGAATCTTATGAGACATTGTTGACTTCTGGAGGGCAAGTTAAGTGGGGACAAGCACTGTGATACTTTTTATTCTCTTTTATTTGCATCCCACAGTACCTTTAAAAATAGTAAATATATGTAGCTTTTCTTATTGGAGATTGTTGTTAGAACAAGACGTTAAAAAGCTTCCAAGATATATAAGACAAAATAACCCGACAAATGGCTATATAACTTGTCGGCAGTAGGGAGAGTGAATGGCCGCATGGTTTGTATCAATACTAACTTCAGGAGTTACCATATTATTATTTTTGAGAACATCTTATTCACCATAACTGCAATGGGGTGATTTCAATTATCTTTTTATTTGTATAAAGGCTTGTTTATTTGATTTTAGATCTCTTTGAATCTCTGCAATGACAATGATGGGAAAATTTGCTTCGGAAAGTCTGCTGAACAACCTCAGGAAGCTAATTCGAACCAATTTGAATCTGTTGG